ATTTTGCGGCATGATACGGTTTTTTTCGAAAAACATCGTGTAAATTCAGTTCATCCGTGACATATTTCTTCTACTAAAATTTCATTCTAAAATTACTTAAGCTTTGTCGGCTTATATAAACTTCTTAATTTAAAAGATTGAAGTGGATTGCTGTTTTCGCAAAAAAAAAGACGTGTGAAAAAACAGCTATACATAATCAAAGTGAAAAGGTTAATCTATCCCTTTGATAACATGAAATAAAGTTCACAGTAAAGAAAAACGAGGAAAAAACATTTGTCTTTCGGCAAAATATGATCAAGCCAAGCCGGTACCGACCGGTATACCGGTCACCGGTGCCGGGATGATGGTTTTATATCGGTGACCGGTGCCGGCATCGCATTTTTGATACCGGTTACATTTCTGGTCACGTATACTAAGCAATATGGATTAAAGGTCTTAGACAAACTAATATCTTTAATAAGGTGCGTGAAGAAAAGAAAACGCATTGAGTAACATCAGACTCTAAAAATTCCACAATTCTTGACACCCGTGCAAATATAAATTCATGAATACATATATATGTCTGCATTATTCAATTTTTCACATCCATGAGAATGCTAGTTTCAGTTAAATTGATGAACTCGTGGAAAATACGAAATCATTATTAGGGGTGGCACATTACTGTTACTTTTACGAGTAATCCAAATATTGTAAATATTTCTATTACCAGTAACAGTCATACTTTCCAGTTTTACTGTTGCTGGTAATAGGAATGTTCATATAATTTGTATCAGCAACAGTAAAACTGGAAAGTATGACTGTTACTGGTAATAGAAATATTTACAATATTTGGATTACTCGTAAAAGTAACAGTAATGCGCCATCCCTAATCATTATCCTATAACAAATACTCTAATCTTCTTCGTATAAGAAAAAATTATCTTCGATCTCAGTTTTTTCCGTCTCAATTTTTCAATGACTTATAGAAAGTCAGAAAGTCAAAAAAATCCTGAATCTATAATTAGATCGTACAGATTACACCGCGCATACCACAAATCATAGACGCAGAAGATAAGTAGACCAGAAAATCAGTAATGTTTGGCCACGTACGTCTACTACCGCAGTGTGATTCCGTCACGAATTGCCTGTATTTTGTTTCTCTTACAGTTTTCCAACCAAAATACTTACAGCTGAAACGTCTCAAATGCAAGAAAAATTTGTGCTAAATATTTTGGGCTGTTCTCGCACTCTATAGTCTTTTTGTTTAGGAAACTACTACTTTGTCGAAGAAGTTTTGAAAAGTAGCAGCAGTTTATATTTTCCAGTATTTCCTAAACAAAAGAACGCATAGAGTGCGGGAACATCTCGGTACATTTTAGCACACTTTTCTCGTCAATCTGAGATGTTTCAGAGCTCTAAAAGTGTTTTGGTTCGAAAACTGTAGGAGAAAGAAAAATCATGATGGAATGACACTGCCGTAGTAGGTTTACGTGGCCAAGTCGAGTAGATGCGTCGTTTGATCTTTTAACACTCTTATAAGTGTAAAACAACTAAATTTTGTCCTTGGACATCTATACTGTTATTGATATATAGAGAAAACTAAGAGTGGCTAAAAGAGTATTTCATTGTGCATTGTTTGCGATCTAAAAATTCGTCAATAGTAGGCACCATAAAGAGGCACCATAAAACATAGAGCTAATGGAACGCAATTTCTATTTGAGAGATAATAATTTAATAAACGAGATCCTATTACTTTAAAGCGCATGAAGGTAATTTTAGATGAGTAACAAAAGCATTTCAAATCTCGGGAAAGATGGTAATTAGTTTGACAAGTATAGGATTTGGACTTGTCAAACAAGATTATTCCACGCATTTGCAACAACGGCAAACACAGATTTATCTAGTTTCAATTTCGGTTCGATTATACTTTTCATATTACTTTTGATATGAGATCATGAAATTAAAGTGAAAATTGGATATGTGATCTTAGATATTCCGATGGTAATCCACGTATAACTTTACAAAATGACGTAAATGCTGTTCCGAAGTGACAGAAGTGCCTTTTACCACCTATCAGACAGGCTAGTCCTCTTTTTTCTGGAGAAGCTCTAATGACTGAAATCCTCTACCAATGGAGCATATAATCTCAAAACTGTCTATCTCTGCTTTCAAAGATCCTCTCAAACTCTTTCTTCAAATGTGAGACTAATGATGGTTTTTGTTTATCAATATTTGTACTTAGCTGTTCGCTAAATCTCGAGTAATCGCATTTAAAACGAAATCGCATGTATCGCCATCCAAAAATAATTGGGACTTTACGAATAGAATCCCGATTTCTAATTCTAACATGATGAAACGCGAGTGAATAGTACATGCGACCAATCTGATTTATTTCTCAGTCTCACCCAAACTCAATCTGAATTTTACTGAAATCGTGAGCAAAAGAAGAGAGGACTTTTCATCAACCAACCATCGATTTATCAACTTTATCAACTAGTCGAGACTGTTATATGACGTGGCGATTAATTGCAATTTTGTTTGAATCGCCATGAGCTGTGACGAACCTTATTAGCCGGCTATCAAAACGATTTATATTCTACTAACTTAAAATGTGAAAACAGAAGTTAGCAACCCTTCAAGATCATATTTTTATTATCTTTAGGCATGCAACGGTTACGATAATTTATCGGTTTATCGTTTCATTTTATCGTATCTCAACGATTATCGTTAACGTATTTATCGGTTTTTATCGATAAAACTGATAAAGTCTTTAACTCTCGCTAAAAAATCTATTAGAAAGTGGAACTTGTGGCCAGAGTGCTATCACTACGGTTACACTACGCAAATAATTACAATTATCTTTAATCGGGATTAAACATTTTCTAGTGTAACAACAACTTTTTTGGATCATGATTAACGATATTTAATCACGATGAACAGAATTGTGTGTAACCGCACTAATCGCGATTAAAAAGATAATCGTGATTTTACTCGTGATAGCCATAACTATAAATACTCAGTGCGCAGGAGAAAATTCATTTTTGTGTTGGCAAGGTTAAAATGAATACCGTAACAATTTTTAATCTGATCAATAGATTTGTTGACACCGACTGCTGATAAATCTTCTTGTACTTTATTCCCGGCGTCACGATTCCGAAGACTAGCCATTTCATTAGATATCTTTTCATCTTTTAACAAATTTAGCAGCAAGTTTGTTACTTCCTCAGATCACCACGATCTTTTTACCTCCATTTTATTCTCGTAACCCTGCGTAGTCACTTTTAATGGAAAAATTATTATTATAAAATTGTTATTACTTAATTATTTATTAATCTGTAAAAGAATAATGCCAGAAAAATTCTTCAGTAAGCAAAACAACGTTCAGCTGATTAGTTATTACAGTTGAACAGTCATATGTAAGCGCCGCTATCATGATCCTTTTTTCGACAGAGACGGTTAAAGTTACTCACGATTAAAGATAATCGTGATTATTTGCGTGGTGTAACCGTAGTGTATCTAGATGTTTTTATCCATTCTTGCGCTCTTCTTTGCCATGTTGGCGCTACGTAAAATCGTAAATAAAAAAAGTTTAAAATCCCATTTTTATCACGAAAGAAGCATTTCTGAGATTCGACTTTGCTAGATGTCTCGATTTTAATGATAGGATGGAATGGACTTGACTTAAAATGATGTTCAAGTAGATAAATTGATCGATATATCCCACGATGCATCGTTCGACCCATTATATGATGTATCGGCCATTTTATCGGGCGATTTCACGCGTGTTTCATCTGTAGCCGCTACACAATTAGACTCATCTCCCGATATATCACTCGATGAATCGGGTTAATATTGCTACTAGATATATAACCAGATACATCTAGAAATGAACCGGTTGTATCTAGATGTATCGGCCGATAACGCGATTCAACTTTTTCTCTTTTTTATTCATCTAGATGTATCACCTTTTGTATTCAGTATATCTAGCTGCATCGGGCGATACCCGATACTTTTCCATGTTTGGGTTTTTTCATTTGCAGAAAAGAAATTATGTCTCTTCATTTCTGTTTGGAATAAAAAGTTAAGAATCGCCTGCTGATTAATCTTCTTTTCGATAAAGAAAACGAAACACTCAAGTTGAAGACATAATTGGCAAACAATTTATCGTCATCCCAAAGCAGCTTTTTAGTTCTAGATGCATCGCCCGATATTTTTTACTCTTTTACCTAGATACTTTTGATGGAGTATCGAGCAGTCCCCCAGCAAGTGTATCTAGATTTTTTCGCTTCCGAATTCATGCATGAGAATATTTGTGCGTTATTCGAACTGTAACAACATACTCAAACGTTTCGTTGTTTTTGCCTGTTTTAATCTCTAACCTTCTCCTTTCTATTTGAGTAGCTCTTTTATTCTCAAAGCATAAAGCGGAACTGTAGCCTGATTTTTGTTGGCATTACCTTGAAAATTACACAGAGTAGTTGTCTCTACAATGTAACATGATCGCAAGTGGAAGGCTTAGTCTTAGTTCATGTAAGGAAAGACACGATTGAAAGCTTATTTTTCTTGTCCCTCCCTACATTTGAATATCTCTAACTGCTTGTACTACAATTTTCAAAAGAGCCAATGAAGACTTTAATAAAAATGTTCGCATAACTTTTGTATGAATTGATTCTTAGAATATTCTGCCAGACGTTGACGAACGTGTCTTTTTCGCAATTGTGCGTTTATCGATTTTTTCGAATGGTGCTAAATTTTCATAAGCCATGGATTGCCTTAGTAAGAGACAGATGCATTCCACAACTGTGCACTACTCTGATTCTATTCATCCGTCGATATAGTCTCTATGAGATCGAATTCATTTTTGAAAGCATCATCAAATACAACTTTTTGCACCAAAACAATCCTGACAAAATATTAACAATCAATTGTTACGAGCATTCATAATGAACATCGTGTTAGCGTTCAATTCAACTTTACTGGACACTTTTATAAACTATATTAGTGTGAGTGTGCATTTAAATCTATAAGTGTGTATTTAAATCTACTAAGTCTTCTTCCATCGGCAATTGTTCCAATTCGATTTCTATCGGATGTTTAAGCTCCTTTCGCTTCACAACAAAGGCCATCCAAGGAACAATGAGCACTTCTTGTTCTTTGGGAAATTCAGATACTGAGTGTATATCAAGTGCAGCGCGTCTATCGACTATTGTATAAGTACAAAGAACATCGAGCTTGCCATCGATAGTAGGACTTTTAAGAAATTTTAGAGCAACATTTCGATCTGTTGATGTTGAGAGAAACGATCTGTTCATGATCTTCCCACCTACCTCATACTTGGACAAATCGGTGTCAGTTATACGCATACCCCGATAAGTTACGAGTTCGGTACATCTGAACTGGTCAAGTGCAGTATCTCGGGAGACAATGCTAGCAAAGAACATGGCCCACTGCGTATCCTTCTGTAACATCCGACATGCGGCACTGTACCTAGTGGCAATCGCTTCATTCAGTAGTCGATAGAAGTCAGTCTCGGCCGTGTAGAGACGTAACAAATAGGTGACATCACGTGTACATTGTAGTTTTTTAAGAAAGTACTTAACGCAATTAACGTATTGAGCGCTTACTTTGCGCGTAGCCCAATTAAGCTCACTAATCGTTGTATCAAGATCGCATAGATACATATCAGCGTAATTGTTTTGTGCGATAAGGTCGGCGTGTTTACCGCAAAATGTCCACACTGGTTCGGATGTATCTTCAATAAAACGATTTCGAGCACTGGCTGACGAGCGGTTGAATAATTGCTCGATCTCGGACGTTCGAGCCTCTTCACAAGGCGTTTTATTGTATCTGTTTCGAATAGAAAGTAAAATGTCTTCTCGCTTAAGCAGATGACGTACAATTTGTGAATGACCGTAAAATGAAGCCGCATGCAGCGCTGTACTGCCGTTAGGTTCGAGTCGATTGAGCTCGTCGGTGCTCAATGTGGACACAATTTGGTTGAACTTGGTCAAATCTCCATTACGACATGCCACGTAAAACTCACTCACATTGCTCATTTGATTTATGTTTGCGT